TTTTACGACAAAACCTCGGGCAGCTTCGCAATACGTCCGCTAGATGCCGTCAGCCACGGTGCTGTATGTTGGGTTATTATTTTTTTAATCGGAGCTAGGGCATTGATTTCTGGGGCTAGCAGTATTGAAAAGTAGTTCATCATGTTTTTTAATGCGATCGCGATACAAATATCGGCTTAATTATGTGTAAAAGCCTCAGGATTCGGTACAGCCACGTGTCTAGTGGTCAAAATTGTACAACATGGCGGCAGCCAGGGGGGGTTCACTTTTGCCTGGTTAATGGGATACTAGTTTATCGCTCTAAGCCCCTCTACCTCGTTGATCGGAACGTGCAACGTTGGCAGTGGTCGGACTTAAGTGTGATGGTGGTGGGGGTATAACATTATTTTTTCAAAAGATTAGGAGACCTACGAGTCCCGGTCGGAGCCCTTAGTCAAGGACTCCGTTGGGATACGAAGTGTACAAAAAGAAGGCATTCTCCGAACGCCGCAGAGCGAAGGGGATGCCCGCAGATTATGCGTCTGCACTCCCGGAAAGGGTCTCTATTTGTACTGCTACCCATTGGCACTCTATACGAGCCCAGATGATCGTGCGGATCTCGGTAAAAAAAAAATCAGCGGACATCCTCGCTATAGACTGTCAATGCGTGAACATTAAAGCGCAATAGCCGTCGCTTTTTTTTTTTTTTTTTTTCCACTGGCACGCTTGATTTACGGAAGACAAATAAACCGTGTTCCGAGAGCCCAATGAATTCAATAACCTCGATAGCCACTGGCAGTTTAATATTTTTACTTTGAGATTGGTTCACCGGCATTCTCATTGCCTAAAGCCGCCATCTCATCGGCTGCGAAACGATAATAAGATGTTGGAAATTCCCCGCGGCCAGCGTTTCTAAATGTGCCAGTCAGTGTAGTCTAACAAAGGACGGACTGCGAGTTCACTTTTCGCAAAGCACGGGACAACGAATCACGGCGAACAATAGGAGGAACCCAGCAAATGGCCAAGCGCAGAAAAAAAAAAAGAAAAGGACCTTCTCAAAAGTACGCTTTATCTAGTTGCAGCTGCGCCAGTCATCCGGATGCGCCATTGTGTGGGGACGCACTCTTTGGCGTTTATTGGTCACAAGATGTGCGCCAGCGTTCGGAGAGGACTCGGATCTAATCACACGCTTCGTGTCTATGAATGGATGGATGGATGTTAATGGATATACCCTTTGTAACGGGCGGTATCTTGCGCCACCTCCAACATTGGTGGCCGCCATCCAAACAATGGCGGCCAGCAATGTTGCTCGATGGAGTTTTTGAAAAGGGCCTGTTAGAGCGAAAAGCGCGACGTGTTCAGGGACATAGCGCATGACGTTTCACTCGGCCACTCTGCACATCGAATACGTTTTAGATCTAATCGTTTTTTTTTTCTATGAGCTTCGTCATTGGCTGGGGTTCCTTTATTGTTCACCGTGGTTGGCTGTCTTCGTGCTCTGCAGGAAAGTGAAATCACAGACGTTGTTAAAAGTGCGTAGAGTATACGTCTCATGTTTGCCGTACGTTCTGCGTCAAGACGTTGCTGCACTATAAGGGCCTTGTATTCACGAAGAAATCTGCTTTCTGGTCTTTTCTGTCTGCTCCTTTAGTATCCTTTCTTTTTCTAAGCCCAATGGCAGGAGCCGATATTCTTAGGCACACAAATAAAACAAAAGTGGCCAGCTACAGCGCGCCACAACTTTCGCGTCTAGCACAAGGGATGCGTTCTCTTACTACAAACGAAGGGCGTAAAGGCGTAAACCGTATTGTTTATCGGCGAGCTTAAAGATGAGCCAGACACAGCTCGCCCGCTACACCATCGCCCTTGCCCACACACGCGATCCTTTGTCTAAGCCGATCAGACTCAGCGAAGCACTTTGCATTTTTCTTTCGTATGGCGGGAGGCGGTCGTTTGTTCGAGCGAGCAAAAAAACGGGTTAGCCCAGAACTGAAGCCGCATTTCGCAAACACAATGGGCCAAAGGGAAACACTATACTGCATCCCACCCCTCACCTGAAAGTGCGGTGGAAGCAGCGGGCTTGCCCGACCAATGAACCGTCTCTTTGCATCAGCTGACCTTGCACTCTCCACGAGGGTACGGGTGCGGAGGGTGATTACGTGGCGAAAGAGCGGCGTATCACTGGTCGAACGAGCACGTAAGCCTCCGCCGAACTGTGAGGTTTAGGGCTGAACGGAGTTTAGGCTGGCCAATCTGTCAAGGTGGCGGTGCTGGCCGCGCAGCACATAGGAGTACGGACAGGGATTGTCGATCTCGCTGAACAAGCGCCGTGTCGCAAGAGCTGCCTTGCACAACGGGTCTGGATGACATGGCGGGCCGCCGCGCGTGTAAGCACGTCGGACGTGATTACCTACTCCCTTTAATTAACAACATCGATAATTGTTGTTGCTGCTGCTGCTGCCGCTGCTGTTGGGTGTGCGGAGGAGGAGACCCCGTCCGGTCGTGACTGGGCGCTGTTTTGTTTGGGGCATGCTTTTCGCGTTCGAGTCTGGTAAGCGCCTCGCGGAGCAGCTAGGTTAGGGTGCCACGGCGCGGGTAGGGTGCACGTACGGTTGCGGTCTACGGCGGCCCGTCCATTGGGTATATGACCTTTTTCCGGAAATGTTCGATGCCATCTATCAATAAATAAGGAAGTATTTTAATGACCTTCTAAAAAAAATATTTAACTATAGAGACTATGTCTCAATACCTGTTGCAAGCCATCATGTTAAAAATTAAAACACTAATTTCACTTATAAAGCTGTTACTGGCTGCCGGTACCACCCCGTAAGTGCCACCAAAAGTGGCGGACAGTTGGGTCTGCTTCCGCTTAGGATGCGCATAGGCAACCCAGGAAAAGTCTCATTTCTAAGGGTATACGCGTTCGCCTCAAAACTGGCCATTTTGTCACACCGCTGTCTTTGACTATGTAGCGGAGGCGTAAGCGTCCAGACATCAACTACGAGTTATGACGGAAACTTTGTGACGCAAAAAAATTGTTGCCATAATAACTAGCAGCAGTATCTGGGCGCAAGCCCCGCTACGCTGTAGAGCGTAGCCAAACGTTACTGTGCGTTCGTACTGAGCGGCGGTTGAATGCCATTTTTTTTTTCTAGCAAAACAGGGGCATCGCGTCCCTGCAGTTCTTACGCTGCAAACAACTCTACGTCGCTGTGGCTTAGCTGACTCCATCTACACGCGACTCTTTTCAAACAGAAAGCGGAGTTTGACAGAACACGGAACCAAAAAACGCGCTCTTTTAAAGCAAAAGAACAAACGAAAACAAAAATGCGTAGCGCGATTAATTATAGGGAAGAAACACCATTAGAGAATACTGTCTGATCTCTAAGATGTAACACATACCCTTCGAGAATATTGTTTGATCTCTAGGACACCCCTATGTAGCCTATTCCAAACGCCTATTGTAGGTAACACCTCATCCTTGCTTGCTTACACAAAAACGGGTACAGGCGATAGTTCTAAACAATATTAAAAAAAATAAAAAAACACCGAGGTCACGTTGAAGCAAAGATCTGTCCTCTAAACGACGCAATTTCGATCGCACGAGGACGAAAACGACTCTGATCGCACACCCGAGCTACGGTAATTTAATTCACCGGATTGAAACGAGCTCAAGTACCATCAAACTCACTTTAATTCCAGCCCTATTGTTTTTCCCTGTCTTCTACTTTTTTTCTCTGTCAAGTATAGCAGTGTCTGTACGCATTAGCGCATTGTCGCTCGCTCGAGTGTGTTACAAAACAAACGCACCGCGAAACGAGCAGCGTAGCTCTTGAGGCCGCGAGAACGAAGAGCAGCAACAGGACGAGGGGGTCGCGCACGGTCACCGGTGCACTGCGCATGCGCGCGGTTTCCGCTAATTGTTAAAGTCATTAGCAAGTTCGGAGAGCTGGTCGCGGCGGTGGTGGTGACGGTGGAGAGCAGCAGCGGCGCTTCCAGCGTATAGACTCCGTTTAGTCACGTCGGTCTAAGCGAACACCAGGGAGATGGCGACACAGAGCTAGAAAAACAAACGAAACACAAAAAATAACAACAACAAGAAGGCATATGTGGTAGCTCAAAGAATAACGTACACTAAAAAATAAAACAAAAATAGTTAGGGTTAGTGAGAACAAAGCGGAAAGGAAACTATCGGACATTGGGATGTGCTCATCGTGGAGGTAGGCCAAAGACGAGGGTCACACTGCTCGTACGTACAAAAGGAGACATGTCTGCCATTAGGAGTCACCGCAATGTTCGTGGTTCGAATGCCGCGTGCCAAGGTTTCTCCTCGAACTCATTGCCGTGTGGCATTCCAAGCACGGATCTCGCGATGACTCGCGTTCGAATGTGTATGCAGACTGTCTTTTGTACGATGTATAAAGCAGTGTGACACCGGCTTTTTCTTGCTTCGAAAATGTTCGCAGACAGTTCTTGTAGGACCAATGCGGCGATTCGTGTGTTCAGTGATTGGACACGAGTTCTAGCCGAACGCCGACGCGGCACTCGTGTCCAATCGGCGCCCTCAGCTGCACCGCCTCCCAATAGGTCTAGTAGAAAATTTAATACTACGGTCTCGTTATCTACGAGGTGTTGTATAGCAGTGGTTCCAGTGGAAAAACAGGACGTCATTTAGAGTCAAGACATAGATTACATGTCCCAAAAAAACGATATGACCAAAAATTGAACTGATGTCGGAACATGCAAAAATCATTCCAGACTATTTTCGAAAAAAAAAAAAATTAACGGAATGGAATTTGCTGCAAAGAAACCACAAATATGATTAGCGTACATTGTTCCGATCGAATATAGAATGAGCACATCCGTGTAAAGACACGGGACGACCCCCTGCAGCGAGATGGCGCTGCAAGCTACGGCAGGGCACGCCGCGTAGCCATGAGCGTCCGTACTCTCCGCATTGCAACATAAAAGGGCGCCCCCCGGTGTTAGTTTGGGTTAGAAACAAAACAAAAATGTGTTACCTCTGCCTAACTGGGGTGGCTTTATGGAATAGTTGGGCAGCGAAACTGAAAACAAAAACGAGAGAAAACAAGGTCAAAATGAAACGGAACGTGTTGAACCAAAGAACAAACGCAAAACAAATAGTCAACAAATCGGTGTACAACCAGAAGAAAAAAAAAAAGTAAAAAGGGCACGTTTCGAATCAGTAAGCTACGCTTCAGAGTTACGACACTTGAACCATCTACAGTTGAATTTGGATTTAGGGCTTGTTGCTTAAAAATCATTGTTTGCAGTTTTGTTCCACTAACTTTGAAATTGCAGGAAACGCTTTTCCGTCTCCCAGGAATTTTAAAACGGTCTACAACAGATCACAATAAAATATTCCAAACTTCCTGATGCCGCATACCTAAATCGCATGAAGCCGCATTTTAGAATCGTAATTATGTTCAATTGCGCACGCTTTACACTATGCAACAGAATGGCGACGCCCACAACTCAATAAGAAAATCAAGTGTCTATACTCTTAGGCGTCGATAATTTAGTGGTTCTAGGCGCGACGGCACACAGCGTAAAAAAAAAAAGTAAGGCAACGCACGGAACAATACATTGTACACTGGTACACTGCACACAATTTCGAGGAGAAAGCAACAACAACACCGACGCCGCTGCAAGCGGCAATAGCGAACCAGAGTCACCAAAAAGCAATAGCCAACAAACGCGAATAAAAAAAAAAAAAAAAAGAACGGTAGGGAGGCTCGAACAACGGTTTCGTTGGGTGAGGTAGCAATCGGGCGGGCAAGAAAGGGAGACTCCTTGTCCGGCGGCCGTACGGGGGTATCCATCAACTCGAGACACGTCGAAAAAGTGGACCGTTTAAAGGGTGGTATTATGCAGCCGGCGTTCCCTGTCGGCTTTGAGGCGCGGCAGTGCGGGGAACGATGGATCTACGCGATGACTGTGAACGGCGCCAACGAGCTCGCGCCGTCCGACAACAATGCGCGATTGTTGGCCGCACAGGAGACCGAGGAGATAGCTGTACGTGTACGAGTGTATACCCCTACGTAAGAAGGGTTGGTATACGAGTTGTCTCGGAAGGAGCGCGCCGCACGGGTCTGAATCTCCGTTCAAGTATCTTATGGAACGCGGTCAGGGGTGTTGAGCCTGTCGATGACGAAAGAGCTGGGTGCAGTGAACTGTCCTCTTTGTTGGTGTTTCTGGAGGAAATTGTAAGAATGATGAGCGCGTGTAGGTCTGGCTAATTGACTTCATTTTTCCATAACAGCAAAACTTTACCGACGAAACTTTCGCCACTGCAAAGAGACACAGACCAGACGACTATTAAGGAGCACATACTATTTGGTATTTCTCGGTAGAGAGGTATAAAACAGTCCACTGTGGTGCCAATAATATTGCCGTGTAATACGAATAACGTACGAGCAGTCGATCACACTTACCGTCCACGGACGCAAACACTATTTATCGTCCGTCTTGACCCAATAAATTGTGTAAGAGTTCGAGCGACTACGGAACTATAAAGAGATAGGGTGACTACCAGCAAAAGGGTATCACATAACTACTGGATATACGTATATTGAACGGCGTGATAGACAGTTTGCTTCCGTGTGTAGTGACTTCTCACGCGGAAGCGAGAGTGCACGGTCTACAGATGCACGTCCGTTCAAATGAATATAGGCAGCAGTAAAAGGAAACTCAATCCTGGTATCTTCAGCGCGGGCTTTATCGCTTCACGTCGCTGCCAAGTTCGGTCTTCTTAACAATTCAAGCAACCCGCCGACCCCCAAAAAAACGCACACACGCACATACACACTTTACAGTCAACGACATGTCAGACTGTCACAATATTTTTGCGTCTCACACGTCGTAAAATTCGCGCGAGAAAAAAAAAACGGAAAGGGCATTTCAAGCACGGAGTAACAAAATCCGACGTTTTAACAAGAGATTAAACTGATTGCATAAGCAGGTAAAGACGCGAGAGGGCTTCAGAAGCGGGATGGGATTAAGCATTTCGAGGGTCATCGTCGAGGTCTTTTCTTTATAATGGCCAGCCCCAGTTAACAGAGGGTCCGAATTCTCCTTTCATCTTTTTTACCTTCCTTTCTTTTCTATTTCTTCCCCTTTTTTTGTATTATGACTTTATTTTTCAGATTACAGCTAGCTACGCAGAAATGAGTTCAAGATGTTCAGAACTTCTTACCACGCGAGAGTTGCTGCGAGAGCGAAATTTATGAGGGAGTGAATAAAAAATAAGCAAAAAAATTACGCCGGTTGCACCGTATAAAAATCCGGAAGCGACAATAAATCGAGAGTGTGTTACAAAAAAAAAAAAACGATTTCATTGCTTCACTCTCGACCGCGGCTTAGAAATATTTCGAAGCTTTAGTTGTGTAAGGCACGATTGCCCGGCTTTCGGCGATTGCCGGTATTGATTAATTCTTGTACGGCTTCGGCTTCCGCTTCCTCGGCTTTGACCTAAGCCGGAAATTAATGTAAGGTCAACCGCCTGCGCGCGGGGAACGACGGGGCACGACAGAAATTAAGGGCGCCGGGTTTTAACGGAACCGCGCGTTTCTCTCGCGACGACCCTTATCGGGGACGGAAGCTTCTGCCAAGTGGATACCGGTTCTCGTGCGATGGCATCCGTCGGCAAAAAGGCGAGTGAACGGGCACTGAATTCCGACAGAAAGTTCCGGCCGGCTTTCGGGTCCACTGCTCTCCTTGACGAGAATACTGAAAGCAGCCTTCCGACCTAACTATAGATTGAATAAGTGTGGAGTTTCCGAGAACGAAAGGCTGCTTTCATGAGCGAGCCAAGCGGTTATGGTGCGAGAATCAGGTCGTAGGTATTGACGGAGGACGAGCAAAATGAAACAAGTTAGTACTTCGTGATGTGAACGTTTATCGCAGAATCGGTCTGACGTACAGCTTGCGTTAAATCGCTGCTTCATCGAGGCGCATGCTTCGTTTCACCTTAGTATGGACTAACTGCGAAGGCTATGCAAGCAGGAGCGGGTAGGCTCGACCGCCTTGACTAAAAGCCGTAGCCTCCTCTATAGTCACTCACAAAGCCCGGCAGTTCGACGACGGAGCCATAGGCTGCCCGGTCGCAGATTTGGAGCGCGAGAATCTGGTAGCACAGAGCATCAAAAAGCCATTTCTCGGGGAACCTGGACGTCAGCGCAAGGCTTTTGCAGCGGCGAGGAACCGAAACACACTTGTTCGCTCGGGAGATGTGAGTTTCGGCGTCTCGCCGCAGCGGCGCGCCAGTCACGTGGCTCTCCTCTCATCCGTTGTCTGCCGCTCCACCTTTTCCAATTCGGCGGCCGCTTCTCGTGGCGATCTGCCAGGCTTTGTCAGTATATGGGAGGCTAGGCTGGAGCACTCGCTGGACGAGCGCTCAGGCAGCCGCCGAGGCCTCATCCAACGCAAATAGCTCGCGCTTTTAGCATGCGCGGCTAACAGTAGTCAACGCTAGGGTGAGACGAAGTTTATGGGTGTTTACGTACTGTCCCAAGCGTTCCCGCCATTGCTGAAAATTTCCTGGCCGACACAGCTGAACGACGGCGATCGAGCATAGAAGTTGAATAGGCAGTCTTAGCATATCGTTATCGCAGCGCTGCAGTACGAAGTGGTATTGCTATTGTGAGCTCGCGCTGTGACTTCGGAGAATATCTAGGCCCCTCAGCGCGCTCCAGGAGCCGTCTCGTTCCCACGGAAGCATGCGTCCGGCAGCGCTATGCTAAAACTGCCAAATGTTTTAGACAGAGAGGTTCACCACGTTCGTCGGACACAAATCGGTAAAGCCCCAGTCCCACTGCTCGTACTTGATACGAAAGACACGGGAGTTCTCTGCAACACATGATGACAGAATTATGTGTGGACGCGATTGAAGCGTGGGCGAAGCATGTTTGCTAATTACATGCTTCATACATGCCTGTAGACAGCTCTTGTATTACCAACGTGACAGGGTCGTCAGACACGGAAGTCACAGGCCTCGGACAATGCCTGCAGAGTGTATTTTCTTTTTGTCTGCGGAGTGTATTTTCTTTTTGTGTTGGCAGTATGACCGCTGCCTCATAGAGGCCCTCCCTATGAACATAATGTAATTCTCAAGACGTTACAAGTAGTATGCAAGAACAGAGCGATAGAAAGTTTCGGGGCTATAAAGATCCCTTTCTCAGAGTCTCACGCTGCAGATTTCTGCTGAGTTGGTGTGGCGGCAAGCCGGCGTCAAATGAACATTATTAGGGGCCCTCTTTCACGCTCCAGCGTCAACTAGAGTAACAAGAAAACACGCTTCAGTGCAAGCGATAACCAACCTCAAATTGCTCGGTCATACACACACAAAAAAGAAACAAAAAGAAAAGAAAAGCTTGTATCGTTTTGCTGGAAGTCAGAAAAAGAAAAAAAAAAAGACGGCGTTCGCCTTTCTAGTTAGACTTGACCACGAACGCGATAAAGGGTACTCCGGAAGGTATTTAGGTCAAGACGCTGATTGATTCGAGCACTCACTGAGGGCGGAAGCAGATGCACCGGTCGGAGGTGTCTCTTTCCGTCGACGCACGAGTCCGCCACAGTCCGTCTAATTCCCAGTTAGCGCCGGGACCAGATTGTAGCTGCAGCAGCGAGCGAACCGGATCCGTTTGGGGTCGCCAGCGTAGCAGGCCATTTGCAATTTGTATGGTAATAATTCCTGTCTTCGACCGCCCCCCTCTCTCTCTCTCTCTCTCCCGCTCCTCTGCCTCATCTTCGCCACAGCACAGCGAATAAGGACGCGCAGAAAAACGCGAAGCCCGTTGCACGAGCAAAGGGCATCATTTGCAGCCGGAAGTATACGACAAATGAATACGTTGCTCACGATCGACGGCTCCCTGGGACCGCACTCCAAATACACGGTCGAAAATCGGACGCGCCGCAACGACCAATGCGCGGTGCACGGCCCGCGCTTCTGCGGTGTTTGTCATAATAAGAGAGGCACGCTGGTGCTGCGGGAACGCTGGTCTATGCACAACTGTGATCAAATAGAGGTTCCAGCTGAGCGTCGCTT